GGAGGGGGAGGAGGACAAGCTAGGTGCGCTCGCGTCATGTCTGACATCCTACCCCTCCCTCCCATCCCTTACCATGGCGTAGATCCCCTTTCTACTCGCACAGTCGGATGTCGAGCAGGGCAATGATCGCGAAAGGGTACGCGATGCATTGTAGAGCACGGCATGGCATGGCGTAGAAGAGCACCGCAAAGCGTAGTATCAACCTAGCATTGCATTGCATGCCGTGGCATGGCGCGGGAAATGACGCCAGCGCTGCAGCGGGAGCACGAGTCGAAACGAGCGGAAGCGCGGAAATGAGGCCAGCGCTGCAGCGGGAGCACGATCCGGAACGAGCGGAAGCACGGAAATGAGGCCAGCGCTGCAGCGGAAGCACGATTCGGAACGAGCGGGGCCCGAAAATGAGGCTGGCGCCTCAGCGAGAGCAGCATTTTGAAAAACATATGCAAGCGAAAACCCAACTCCCGGGAATCCTGTGTGCAAAAAAGAAAACCGTACGCGGGGGGGGGGGGGTCGAACACCCCAGCACGTCATCAGGGGAAGAGGGAGAGTAGTATTCATATTGAGTAATTGTGGAGGAGGATGAGGAGGGAAGAAGGGGGGGAAGGAGGGAGGGAGGGAGGGAGGAGGGAGGAGGAGGAGGGAGGAGGGAGGAGGGAGGAGGGAGGAGGGAGGAGGGAGGAGGAGGAGGAGGAGGAGGAGGAGGAGGAGGAGGAGGAGGAGGAGGAGGAGGGGGAGGGGGAGGAGGAGGAGGAGGAGGAGGAGGAGGAGGAGGAGGAGGAGGAGAGAGAGGAAAGAGGAGGAGGAGGAGGAGGAGGAGGGGGGAGGAGGAGGGGGAGGAGGAGGATAATGAGGAGGAGGAGGAGGAAGAGGAGGAATGGGAATGGGAATGGGGTCACTGACGCAGTCATAAAAAAGTTTGAGTGTGAACTTGGGCCTAAGGCCTCTCTCAAAACGGTCCAAAAACTCACGCCGCTTCTTGGATACAGACTGGGGGTCGCAGGGCTGGGGCAACCCGCGTAAAACGAGTTCCCCAAAGAACCCGCAACTCCTGCATATCCAAACACCCGAATCTTTGGAAAACACAATATTGTGCGAGCCATGAGCGACCCCCCCCCCCCGACATGCACATGAAACCCCCGCGGAGGCGTTCGTGCCCGTCCTGCCGCCTCGAGCTCCACGCGCGGCGTGGCGAGCCAGGCCGTCCTGGCCGCCGCCGTGGAAGAGCACTTACAGCGCCTGCACCTCAACCCACAATCGCCCAGCTGGTGGACGGATGAGAAGAGGGCGGCGGCAGAGGGAGGGGGAGAGCAGGCGGGGGCAGAGCAGCAGCAGCGGCAAGATGGCGCTCAGACGAGTTTCCAGCCCGACGAACCAGGACGGAAACTTCCATCGTGGCAAGCGTGGACTTCATCAATCGTCCGCGCACCAACCTAGCCATACTCCCTGCCTCCGCAATTCGACACCGATGCGATTCAGCGCCCCTGGAGTTCTGGGCGGCGATTCGAGCAAGCTCGTCGGCGGCCTCGTTACCTGCAATCATCCAGCTGGGGAGGCGACGATGCACACTGTCGGACGGAACGACATGCGAAGTCACTGTAATAACCACAACCGAACTGACGCGAGCCCTCAACAGCACACCCATCTCTCTCCAAATTGAGACCAGAGCGCCGCGAGGACACTCAAAGAGCCTCTCGTGCCAACCTCTGGCGACCTGACCGTTGTCAGTGGTATAAACAAGGTCCCCAAGAGTCAAACGAATGGCCACCTCGAGGCCCCGCAACTCCCCCTTAGGTACAGACTGCCGTCGCCCAGTCAGAGGTCCAAAGGCGACGGGTCCAAGCACAAAAGGGGATAAAGAGAGCGCAGAGCAAATGCCCACTCCAACTCTTCTCAACCGATCACCCCCCCCCCCCCCTCCTTCCCAGCAGAGGCATCGCCGCGCACAATTACCGAGCTCCTGCCGTGCCCATGCCCAAGGCGCCTGGCATGAGCTCGTCGGTCAGAAGGTCCGTGCACAACCACTGCTCATGCTTGGGCGGCGGCGGCGCAGCCGTCCAGCTCGATGGCATGAGACCCCTATACCAGAAGCAGGCCTCGATCTGGCCTTGTGCAGTAGCCTTTTGGCACAAGCTGATCTGAGCCAGAGAAAGCAGGATGACTTGTGTTGCTGGGGCACAACCAATGACGATGATCGGGGGTTTCGGGCGTGGTCGGACGATAGGCAAGTTTACAGCGAGGGCATTCATTGACGGCAATCAAACCTTCCTGAAACTTCCTGTCCTGAGGCCAACGCCCCCCCGTGGCGATGCAAACCATAACTTCAGCTAACTGACGGCCGTGTTTAGCTCCCTCGAGCTGGCGAAGGAGGGGTCGACGAGAAAACTTACCTACCCCCCCCGACATCCCTGCCCCGCAGCAGTGCTTCTCAGCTGAACCCTTTGCTGCGTGGCCAAAGACTCCTGAAAGTCCTCCAGGAGACCTTGGGCCTCGCCAGCTGAAACTAGCGCATCAGCGGTGGAGGTCCATTGAACATCATATTCGCCTGTCGCGAGTAGCGGCCCTTTCCAGTCGTCGAGCGTTGCGAGGGTCCATCCTGCGGGCATTAAATGCGACAGCACAGCCGATATGGGACCAAGTGTGTGCCGAGAACGCATATTGTTATCCTTAGCTCCCAACTCCCTATACAACTTATCCCAGACACGAAAAACTCCAGCATGCGACCCAGGAAAACGAATCCAGCAATCAAGCCAAGTTTTAATACACGACGGGAGCAGTGTGATTCCAGGATCACGTCTTGGCGCGCGGAGATCGAATGGCGTCGCGAGGCATTTTCTTTTTTCCTCCAGAACCAGAGACAGCGCCGAGACGCTGACGAAGACGCTGTAATTGCTGCCCCATAACAGCATATATTTCAAGACCGTAATTAGAACATGCCTGGGGACCCGCGAGTTCGATTTTTTGGTGAGTGAGTACCTCCTAGCCGTGCGAGCGTACCCTTTGAGCTTGCGGTGCTGCTGCGTCCCTTTGGCAACCTGCTGCCTCCTCGTTCGCCTAGCTTGCCTCCTTCCTCCTCCCAAATCAATGCCAAGATACGGGGCCTCAAGGACAGCGCTGATACGAACTCCCTGACGTTTCAAACGAGAAGCGGTCTGCTTGGCAACGACGTGCAGCGGACTGAGAACAACGTTCTTGCCCGCAAGCTTGAGCTCGTGCTCTCGCATGGCAGTGGGCACCATATGCACGACGCTGACGGCGGACTCTTCCGCAACCCGACGCGACACCAAAATCTGGCGCATAAGGTCACCGATCCAAATCCGCAAAGAAGCCGAAATGGGGACTTGGGAATCCCGCTCCAGAATAAAATAAGTTAAACACCTCGCAAGGCGCGCTCCGTTTCGTAGCCCTTGGGCAATGGACTTGGACGGCTGAAATGCAATGCTACTGGTTCCACCCTGTGGCAAAATACGGGGGGGTCATACATAACTGCAGTTCCAGTGCCATGACAACCGATGGGAAACCTAAACGCGTTGCCGCACCAACCATAATATCCCATAAACTCGTATCGTAAAAAATTTTAATATCCAGAATAGCTTGGCTAAAAGTAAGCCCCATGCGATGGTAAACCTCGGCATCGAGGACCCCGCGGAAGGCTTCCCTCAACGCCGAGATGTCTGAAACAGCAGCGCCCCAAGCTGGCGCGGTCTGCTCAGGCCAGCCTTTGGCAATACCATAAGACGTGCCATACTCATAAGACCTTGGCTAACAATTTCCCAAGTACCATTAGAACTTGCCGGGGCCACGCGAGCGCGTGCTCACATGCCTCGTACAACTCGCATAAAGACTGAAGAGCGCAATCGGGAAGCCGTTCAAAATCTAGAGGCGTGGGCTGGTCAACGCAACGGCCAGCTGGCGGACGCATCTTACGCGAGGCTATTCCCAAGTCCTGCGCCGTAAGCGATGGAAGCGCGTCCGACCACGCATCGCCCCGACTGCGGTCAAAAAGACCTGTGACACACTGAGAAGTAACTGGCTTGTCAGCCCACAAAGTATGATATTTCGTGGCCTTGGCGTCGGTGACATCGATAGGGCTAAAAAGCCGTGCCCCTTGGTGGACAAACTCATCGTCGGGGACTGGCTCTGCGCGCAAGCTCCGAAGGACCTGACCTTGCTTGAAGCTGTCTACAATCCACTCTTGAAGCTGAAACAGAGAACGTTTGACTGCTCTGCGCTGGGCACGCTGCGAAATGCACCCTGCCCAGGATACTAACTTGCCGAGGAACGCCGAGCTATGCTGCCCCACAGTGCCCAAGTCGTGCCCCCAAGCCTCGATGGACGGAACGTGAGGTTTGGACTTGAGCACCTCGTGGGCCTGGGGAGGAACACCCCGGGCAAGTTTTTCCCCGTCGCGACGCGCCCCCGCATCTGCTGAACGCCGTTCGCTCGTTCACGATGCCTGCGGAGCCTCTGGGGGACAACGAAGACCCTGGGCCACCAAGTGGCAACCCTGTCGGAGAGCGGAAGCTCGCGATACTCGAGCGCCTGCTGGACCCCTGCTGCCGTAGGGAAGGCCCTTCAGCACGAAAACGACCCAGAAGAAAAACATCCGGATCATCAGAGCGACGAGCGGAAATCGAGCGTTCTGCCGCTTGTGCCCACGATGCAAAGCGACTGCTAACCTCCAAAATGTAATCATCCCCAACCGTGAAAGCGTGCGACTCCAAAACGAAATTGGCTACGCCATCCCTAGCTTGAGGAACAAAACCCACTCTCGCCGAATGGCGACGCCAAGTGGAGTCAGGAATTGGGAAAGGAACTGAAGGAAGCTCAGCTTCCCCTGAATCCTCCTCTGCCTCCGCGCGGGGGGGGCGGGGGGGGCGGGAA